TCCCCACCCCCCCGGGCTGCACCCCCATTCAGCTGCCCTTTGCAGCGCGTGTCCTGCCGCCCCGCATCACCCCAGGCCCAGCTTCTGCACACGCTCCTCTCCCCAGTCCCTCCTCCCTCAGGTCTGTAATCTCCGGTGCTGGCCTCAGTTCCTCTCCATGGAGCCTTCCAGACCATCCGTTCCCCTTTCCAAAGGCCTGGTCCACACGGGCCTGCGTCCACACCACTCGCCAGCCCCAGCTTCCCCTCCAGTGGCCCCTTTAGGGGCCAGAACCATCTGCACCTCAGTCTGGTGCTCAGAGGCTTTCCCGTCCACCTCCCGGCTCCGGTTTTGGATGGGGGCCGCGGTCTGGGCCCAGGGACGGCCGCGGCCCAGCAGTGTCCTACCCGGGCAGGGTGCTGAGCTCACAACTCTTGGCCCTGTGCGCGCTGCACCCGTCGCTGGTGGTCGACCTGGCGAAAGAGCTGCTGGAGTTCGTGGGGAGCGTGAGCAGCGTCCAGAGCAGGGGGGCCATGCTCGCCGCCGTGGTAAGGCCGGCCACCGCACCACCGCCCCTTCCCACGCCGGGGTGCCTGCGGGGGGCTGAGGCTCTGTCCCCCCCCAGGCCTGGGCCGTCGGCGAGTACCTGTCCGTGTCCTGGGACCGGCGGTGCACCGTGGAGCAGATCACCAGGTTCTTCGAGGCCCTGGAGGCCCTGCTGTTCGAGGTCACCCAGTCCCGCCCGTCTGCCGCCCTTCCCAAGTGCCCCCCACAGGTCATCGCCGTGCTCATGACCACGCTGACCAAGCTGGCCTCCCGGAGCCAAGACCTGATTCCCAGGTACAGGGTGGGCAGAAGGGGAAGGGGAGCTGGCTCTGGACCCCCTCCCGGTCCCCGAGGCCTGCACGCGGCCCGCAGCACGAGGGCTCCGGCCGGACACCCGTGGCGTGGGCGGCCTCCCTGCGGCCTCACCTCTCCCAGCTAACGCCCCACGGCCCGGAGGCCTCAGGTGTCCGGGCCCCTCCACGGGGCCTCAGGTTTCATGTGAGGACTGCACCTGCAGCTGACTGACCGGGACCCGCTCATCCTCAGGGTCTCTCTGTTCCTGTCAAAGATGAGGACCCTGGCACAGAGCCCAGCGCTGAGCTCCGTGCACGGTGAGGAGGATGCGGGAGCCATCTGCACGCGGGCCACCGAGCTGCTGACCCTGCTAAAGATGCCCAGCGTGGCCCAGTTTGTGCTCACGCCGAGCGCGGAGGTGTCCGAGCCCCGCTATCACCGTGACGCCAACACGGCCCTGCCGCTGGCCCTACGCACAGTCAGCCGCCTGGTGGAAAAGGAGGCGGGCCTCCTGCCTGGGTGAAGCGACGGTGGCCCGGGGGACGCCGGCCGGCCGCAGATTAAGAGCCTGGTATTAGGGCCAAGCCGCGGCTGCTGTGACCAGAGGGCAAGTCAGAGGGTCGCAAGGCCGGGGTAGGAGGCCCGGGAAGGGTCTGGGTCCCTCTGTGCTGAGGCAGGGCTGTCCCATCCTCGGCCTTCGGGTGTCTGTCTGTCCCTGCTGTGCTGAGCTGTGTGGTGGAACAGGTCTGATTTGGAGCGCTCGTGCTTTTGGGGGCTGGATGGGGGCTGCCTGGTCTGTTTCTGGGGCGAGAAGAGGTATGGCAACAATAAACCTCTTTCAGAACGTCCCTGTGTGCACGAGGCAAGGGAGAGGGCCGGGTACGGGGAGCGCCGCGGGCTGGAGGCCTGGCGCTGGGCAGGGGGCGACCAGACACCTGGGGCTGTTTCTTCCCACCGAGTCCCCACAGCGTCTCCGATGTTACAGAAATAACCACGAATGTGGGCGATCAGAGAGGGAGCCACGTGACCCTCCCACGGGTGCGGCTGCCACTGGGCAGGGCCTTTGCTCAGTGTCCTTTCTTAGCCCGCCTTCTGATGCTGCTGAATGAGCCCGCGGGGGGGCTCTTCGGGCCTGCAGCCTCCCGCCCGCTGGAGGTAGGGCAGGGCCAACCCGGCGGGGACCCCGACACCTGCCGCGGGAGCCTCAGAGCAAGTCCGGGGTCGTTCTGGCTTTATGCCGAGTAGTGGGGGAGACACGCTGGGTGTGGTGGCGCAAGAAACCTGTCGCCGTCCCCCACCCAGCGCCTCCTGCCCCTGTTCCCCTCCCGCCTTGGACACCAGCTCCCAAGGCTGCACCTCAGTTCCGCCGGGCGCGCAGATGCGTCCGGGCCACCAGGTGGCGCTGCTGCTCCGCGAGCCTCTGCCCGGCCCCCTGGCTCCGGCCCCGCCCCCAGGCCCGGGATCCGTGACGCCGGGCCGCTCGCACGCCGGAAGGAGCTGCGGCCGTGGAGGATGTGGGGGGACGCCGCGCGCGGACCGGACCTTGGCGCCGGCCCTCAGATGACGCGCCCGCGGAGCGGTGGGTGTCGGGGCGGGACGCACCAGTGGCCACCCTGGTCCTCCCAAGGCGGGGCAGACCCCGCCCGCCCCCAGCCGACCCTCCCTCACCCCCCCCCCGTGGCCCCTGGGCTCCAGGCCGGGTTCGCGGACTGAGCCCTCCCCGCCCCCACGCCGAACCCCTCCCCCCCGCCTCCGTGGCCCCGGGGCTCCAGGCTGGGTCCGTGGACCCCCTCCCCGTCTCCAGCCGACCCTCCCCCACCCCCCGTGGCCCCGGGACTCCAGGCCCCCACGCCGACCCCCCCTCCCGCCTCCGTGGCCCCGGGACTCTAGGCCGGGTCCGCGGACCCCATTCCCACGTCGACCCCGCGTGGCCCCGGGCCCGAGTTCAGGAAGGTCAGGGTTGAGGATGTACGTTCACCTAGAGAAAAGTTTTAGTTTTGCAAGATGCCTGGGGGGCCTGTTTTCAGTTAGTGTTCAGTTTGGGGTGTTTTCAGATTCTCCACGTACTGTAGGTTTGGGTCTCAAACCTGCATAAGAGCTAGGTGGTGAGTACGGATTTTGAGGAGACACAGTTTCCCTGCTTCCCAGGGAGCCAGGTCACTCCAGAGACGGTCCCTTCATGTTTGCTTCGCAGCCTGAACCGTTGTGGTGCCTGTAGACAGAAACTGCGCGAGTTCAAACGCTGGGGGGCTCCCAAGGAGCAGACTGAGTTCTGGGTCTCAAGTTTTCACTCCCTGGGTCTGCAGCCCACACTCTTGCTGTGGGCTGGTGGTGGGGGCAGCGTGCTTACCACCCACTGACTGGGGGCTTCCTGTGTCATGTGCTTTGGCCGACAGGCTGTGGGCAGAAGTGACAGGAGCTTGAAATGTGCTGGGGAGCTGGGCTCGGCCTCTTGCACGTCTGCCGTTCACCGTGGCGAAGAGAACATCCCTGGCCGGTGTGTCGGCCTAAGAGGTCAGGAGGACCCCACCTGGAGCTCGGAACCACCTCCAGCTGTGCTGAGCGAGGGTAAGTGAGCTTGGTTTCGGCCATCCTGTTTTTTCAGAGCGTCATGGCAACGGCTGATGTAGAAAATTAGTCTCCCTGCACGTGTGTCTTCGTCTGGAAAATGGTGGGGGCAGGGGCTGCGAGCAGTAAAGGAGCCTGCCGTGAACTCTCTGCGGATGTCCCCTCTCCCACGGCTCCAGCCCCTTGGGAACTTAGTTACGTGGGGTCCCCCACTCGGCCCCACAGCTTTGTCTCCTTCACCGCACAGAGTGGTGAACTGACACCAGTGACTGGGCAGGCCTTATTTAGGTTGCTCTTGGTCTCCTTGAATTTGCGCCCTTGCTTCAGTTTGAGGCTCTAAGCATTTTCCTTTTGGGTTCCATCATCGTGTTTAAAATGAATTTTTTTTTAAAAGATTTTATTTATTTATTTGACAGAGACAGAGCAGGAACACAAGCAGGGGGAGTGGGAGAGGGAGAAGCAGGCTTCCCGCTGAGCAGGGAGC